TTATGTAGATATGATAGAGGAATCGATTTTTTTACTGAAAAATGTGCTAGAAGTACGCCCAATAAAGTTATGAATCTTTAAAAAAGAAGAAGACGTGTAGGTGGCGCCCCCTACGAGTAAGAGCAATAAGAACATCAGGTTCGAATTCGACACCTCAAAAACCTCCTATTACCAAGTTTCGTTTAATTAAGTTCAGTATTTCAAAAGTTATTTGAAAAAAACGAAAATAAAAATAAAACTTCAACATCCTGTATCTTAGAAACGAAGCTTTTCCGGACATTTATTTATTTGGACAATTCATATTAGAATATTGTGAGGAATCACCTCCTGAAGTTTGTCAAAGTACTTTTGAATCACCCTGTATAATAGAAAATCGTTAAGTGTCTCTTGACCATCTTGCCATACTGCTAACGTGTCATCAACATAACGCAGCTAACAATATGGTTTTACGGCCGTTGTTCGAATAGCCCGTTATTCGAAATTTTCCATGAAAAAGTTCGCCACGGCCAAAAAAATCGGAAAATTGTTTTGACACAATATTTTAGTCGATATCATGTTGTGATGAATCTATTTAATAGACATGAATAAAAAGTCTCACTATCAGTATATTGAATTTCAGTGGATTCTGGCAAAGGTAAGGAGCAGGAACAATCGGAAATCATCACTGGAACGATAAATTGGAACGAAAAGCCAGTCCGCAGTTGTGACCTCGACTGGGGAGCACCCGTAAGCGACTCCACTGTAAAGACGGACGATTTCGAAATAAAATGGAGCGACGATGAAGGAGAGAATGAATCCGCAGATTCCGACGAAGGATTGAATATGACCATCGGCAGCAAAAAAGAGGATCCCAGAAACGAAGACGACGAGGATGAAGACGAAGAGGAAAAGCAACAGCACATTGATATTATGGCTCAGCAACTGAAGTTCGTCGCTTGTTTGAAAATTCTGATGGAGGAGTTGTCGACATTGGCCACTGGTTTCGAAGTTGACGGTGAGTCAGTTGTTCTGTACATTATTTATTAAAATGTCGAGTCATGATTAATTTAGGGTTTTTTAACATTCCTTAATGTGAAATTATAAGTCAGAAGCAAGTGTATTTGAAAGCAGAAAGGATAGACAATCAAGAATAATTGCTGCACTAATAAAAAAAAGTATTTTTTAATTTATAAAACAACATAAAATTTGTAGGAAACTTGTGCCGTTTTGTATCCATTTAAAAGAAATGTCTTGTTTCAATAGTGCACCAATATTTCTGAATATATCCAGGAGTGTTAGAATCCTATTGCTAATATTTCTGCAGGCTGAATTTTCTACTATAAATTATTATGAAGAACAATCTTTGAAAAATGCTTAAAGTTCCACTTTATTTGTTGGGTTGGCATTGTTTTATTTATCTTATGTAAAATTAAATGGACAATGAACTCAACTTTCAGAGGTAACGAACTTTCGTGATTAGTAGTCATTTTTTGTGGAGGAAAAATCAGTTTTTTGTCAACCTTTCGTGATTAGTACCTTCCTAACTGTTTGTTTGAAGGTGGTTGACAATGTTTCGTGGTGTATTTCATCAGTTCGGACTTCCATTGTCTAGTATAATATAAATTGTTCAACGAAAGTCATTTTTTGTGGAGGAAAAATCAGTTTTTTGTCGAACTTTATTAAAACAAATACTGATTATGNAAAAAAAGTATAGTAAAAATTCAGCCTGCTGCAAGTTCATCAACAGATTACCTTTTTTATAGCCCTGTGAAAAATTTGTTTTTCAGATTATAGAAGTTTTGATAACCAATCCAAAAAGTGTTGCTCAAAAGCAATAACTACTGATAGATTTATTAAGATTTATTAGGAATGAGTTCAAAATATACCTTTTCAGGTATATTCAAATGTGCTTTGGTAAACATTTTTATATTTATTTCTGAAATATGCTCTTCCTACTTCTTCCAGTGCCGTTCAACAAACACTTTTTAAAATTTCTTGAGCAAAACAGTAAGTTTTTTGTGGTTTGAAATGAGTTAACGTTCCTTTCAAAATATATGCTTAAAATAATAATAATATTGATAGCTGAAAGTTATTTAAAGCCGTCTATGTGGTTTAGCCAGCATGTTTATGGCATATTTAATTTAATTGACATTAACTGTGTTGCTTTTCTAACATTATAAAAGTACCTATGTAAGTGGTTTCAAAAATTGTGGTGAATCGACCAACGTGGTTAATAGGAAAGCACTTCTAGTGGAACTTCATGGCCACTACATCATAAAAAATTTTCTTTGGTACTGTACTCATGTACCAGTCTCTAGTGTCATAATGAAAACAATCGCAGGCCGTGGGAAATAGTCGATGTCCATTTCCTTTCTAGACTCAGGTTCTCAGGTACGGATTATTTTATTACTTTAGAACAATTATTTCCAAATTGGTCCAGATAGTTCAGGGATCTACGAGAGTCAACAGGGGTCTACATTGGTGTGACCAAAAAATTGGGGTTGACAATTTGATAGGGGGGAGGGTCCATATGTTCAACATTCAATTGCCCTGTATGATGACTTCAAAATCAGATTTTAAGATATTCTGACGATGGAAATACCACCATGGATCATAAATCCATTTGATGAAACGGAAGTGTAGACTGTGATATTACAAGAGGAGCTAGTCGGACTTAGCACTAATGAGGAGCTGAAGTTGAAATTTGAAAGAGGATATAAAACATTTTGGGTGCAGGCAGAAATACACAAAAAATATCCTGGGCCGTGGGGAATTGCGAGAAAACTTTCAATAGTATTTCTCTCGACATATCTTGTTGAAAAAAGTTTTAGTGTCCTTACAAACCCTTTTAGCAAAAAAAAGGACCAAATTGAATGACACCGAACGGAGAGATTTGTGGTTATTCCTAACAAAACTGAAGCTAAATATTGATAATTTGCTGTCAATTGTGACTATTTTGTGATTGTCATTGTAGTGTAGAAGTTACGTTATTAATGTTTAATTTTGATTACATAACCACTGAATAATAGTGTAAAAATGACATACCTATTTGAATAAATAACACAAGAAAATACACTATATTTATTTTTATTTCAACCACACGGAATAGGGAGTTTTCTAAATAAAATAAGTGAGAATTGATTGGTTCCTTGTGTTGTGTGTAAAGTTGGATGGAATCACTTTTTTGATTGACCAACTTCACTTTGCATCCACTCACAGCACAATCAATTAATTAATTAACTAATCAGTTCTCAGTTTTATTCGAAAACTGTTAATTCATGGTTGGAATAAATATATTAGTTCTTTTCTGATTTCTGCCCGTGTGGAGATACACACAGCATCAAAAGTGTTGGACCCGACAGTTTTTTTGTAATTTATTCTATTTTGAAATAAAATAATAAATTGTTATTGAACTATGATTACTCGTGAATTTATTTTTCCTCAAAAATATACTCCCAGAAAATTTACAAAATAGCAGAAGCAACATAAGAAAAATAATTGTAATTTTTAGCTGAAATAATTTGAATAATCCATTATGTAAAGCAACAATTCTTGTCCTGTCGAAAAAAGAAAGAAATTCCATTGAAAGGAAAGTATAGTTTATGGTGCTAAATATTCAGTAAAACTATCCACTATTACAAAAAATATTTGATAAATCAGCAACGTGTTATCCATCAATATTTTTTGTCCTGTTTGTTTACCAGACAGTTCAACGTTTTTACCCAACAACAAAAACGCAATAAACATAATATAACAATTAGATTTTATAAAAGGGGTCCAAGACTTTTGATGTTGGGTATATTCCTGTTTTAGGAATTGGAAAATGTCATGATACATTTTTATTGCGTTCACTTACAAAGTAGTTAGCTACCAAGTTGGGTATATGAGCAGTAAAATTTGGTAGAAGGTATTTTGTTGACTAGTTGAAATTCCTCTCTGTGTGAATTATTGGGCCTTATAATTATTATTATACACGAGTATATAGAAGATATTTATTATTAGTAAGACTAAAAGTTTTTCAAGTCGAAGAGAAAGGTTAACAAACTTAGGTATAACATAGCCAGCAGTTGAAAGCCTTATTTCAACAAATTTTAAATCTCACGGATGGTATATTATATACAGGAGGTCAGTTGAGATATCAGTTATACATGTGGTTAGAGAAGGAGGTCGAAGCTTTGAGAGAGTTGTGCAACTACACTTCTGGTGAAAACGAAATGGCAGATCTGGAACAGCCCCCAGATCCAGAAAATGCAGGAACCATAGAACCCTCCAGTGCTAAACCCACCCTACACGAAATACTGGTCCAAGAAAAACTAGATTTTGAAGCAAAAGTACAGAGAGCGGCCAAAAGAAAATGTTGGCTGAGAGGTAAGAAAACCAAATTATTTTTACAAGGTACGATTGTTTAAGTTGAAATTGTTTTCATTCAAGAGAATAATGAAAAGTTCGTGAGTTGATGAAAAATGTAATTCTTAAATTTGTATTTATCAACTTTATTTCAACTTTCCGAAGAAACATTGGCTGTTATTAATAGGGAAATTAAAACTCAAAATGTGTCCAAATATAAATTGTCAAATGTGGAAATGCAAGTATAGCTGAGGCACCAGTCAATCTAATAATAACACTGATGATCTTCAAACATGACTCAACCTCCGACGGAAGCACCAAACTCTTACAAAGGTTCAAAATAGATGAACACTTCAATCTAGCAGACCACTATTATAATCTTCATGCAGTCATTGTCCACTGTGGTTCTGGCGTTAAATCTGGTCATTATTATGCATTGGTCAAAAACGAAACGGACTGGTTTAAGTTTGGCGATAGTCGTGTCACTAAATAATCTGGCAATATCTTGAATTTATTGGAGCCTCTGGAGACACCCTACTATTCATTCTATGAAAGAGAGTTCATTGGGGCAGATCAAGATCTTCAGATGATGTGGTGTTGCAGGTTTTCCTGCAGCTGAAAAAGCAAATGCGCCACTGAAATCAATCAAGTCGCCCCGGAGCGCTAATTAATTTTTGTTGTTGCTTCATAATTTGTATCTAATAAATATGTTTTCAAGAGTACTTTAAATTTCAGAATATATTTCATGTTTTAAAGTTGGCTGGCAGTTGAGTGGATTTTAAAATGCTGTATTTTTAATTCATCATGGCGAGATGAACGAAGGAACAAAATAACAATTGATGAAGCAAATTCAAATTCAATAATCTCGGTTTATGTAAACCGAGATTATTGATTTTGAATTTGCAGTTGGTTCTAAGTGTGGAAGTTTATACATATATTTGATAGATTTAAACTGAAGTGTTTTCATGGTTTCAGAATTGCTGTATTTGCAGATCCCCAAATAGAAATTGAATATTATAATCAGGAATATATAAAACTATAATATATCATTAAATATTTGCCGTCAATATGATTTCGTATACTCTATTATGAATATCAATGACCTTTCAATATGTTTATTCCAACTAAAATTTTCATCAATATAGAGTACTAGAAATATTGTTTAGTTTTTGTATAGAGTAGAATAGAGTAGAGTACTTTATTTGACCATTTTACATACAGTTGTACATTTATGGCAAGTCACAAATACAGAAATCCTTGATCAGAGATAAAATTGATCTACTATGAAATATAAGTAAAGAATATAAGTATAAATAAAATCATAAATATAAAATCTTTGAAGTATGTTCGTTGATTTAATGAGGCCTTTCGTAAGTTAAAGATCCCGCCATTTCTTATATTCCTCTGTATTATAGAAACAGTGTTGGAGGAGAAAGCTTTTGATAATAAATTTAAATTTAGTAAGGTTGAGTAACTTCACAGATGAATGAAGATGATTATAAAGATTTAAGTTCAGTGAATTTCTTTGACTGATAGTCAGATTATGTCTAGGCAGGTTCAATAAACTTGCGGACCTCGTTTCATATGTATGATTTTCGCCATGTCTTTCAAATTTGTCAACATTTTCATGGATCTTCAGTAACAGTTTATAGACATACAGTGTTGGAAGTGGCATAATGCCGAGTTGAATAAAGATAGGACGACAATGATCTTTGTAACCTACTTTCTGGCACGTAAACACACTTATCGAGTTACTTGTGTTGAATTTTTACAGTGACTGATATTATTTCCCATATTCACAAACTGTCTAGAGTTCTATAAAAAACAGAGCTAACATCGTCTTTTGTTTCACACTATATCTAGTTGTTCCACAGTTTTAACATAAATGACGTCATAGTGACGTCACAGTCATTGAGTTTAGAGAAAATCACTCCTACACTGCCATTTTGAATGGAAATGGTCATTTGTGTTATCATATCATTGAAAAGGAAATTCAATATTCTAGAGAATTATCTATGAAAAGAGTTCTATTTAGAATTCTTGACTTGGGTCCATTTCCGGTCAAACTGAAATAGGATTTCAATTGTTTTTTCATCAAAAATGTTGACTACAATGAAATATTGTTTTGAATTTCAAATTATTTGCGCCAGAAACAACCTACCACACGGTTCTGTAAACTGTGTGCTAGGTCAATATATCCTCAATGATTTTTGTATAAACTGTTTGGAAAATGGTATACTTACAATATGATCTATTTCAAATATCCCTGTGGCATATATTCCATTCACTGAAAACTCAATAAAATCAAAAAGTCATTTTCAGCCAATGAAACTTTGTTGCGAACACTTTTGAGTTACTGCTCTTTGCATGGCGCAACCGGCGGTTTGGCATCCGTTCGAATGGAGTTGATGTTGCTGCTGCAAGAGCTGCAGCAAGAAAAGACCCACCAGCAACTACTGAGCCCGCTACCTTTCCCCACTAGTCTACCTCTTCTGGCGGCCAGCGTAGCTAGCAGCAAGACAGTCGTTGCCGATCCTATAAGATACCTCCAATGTCTGACGCATGATATGTTGCAAACGGTGAGTCATTCACATGCTCATGTCGACCATTCCAATTCCGGAAGTTGATTTGAGGAAAGTAACTTGTAAGATAGATGAAACGGTGCTATCACTGATTCGATAATGAATTTTCAAAATTTCTGAATTATAAAATTGGTTGGCTAGTGTTTCATTCATTTATACAGGGTACATCGCGATGACCGTCGGTTAGCCGTATTTTGGGAAATGATAGGATTCATACCCTGAAAATTGTCAAATAAAGGCTTTTCAATATGCTTCATCGAATGAAAATAATGGCGTTTTTCCAACACGTTCGGTTATACCGGAAGTTAGTACCAACTTAGTTCAAATGTAACACACTGCATATTTTAACATTTTTGAATACCTGGCATAATTCCAATGTGAGTTTATATAATACACCCTATACCAAAAATGAACCGCTCTTGAACCGTTCATTTGTTAACTAAAAAAAAATAAGTATTCGGCTATCGAATGATAACATTAAAAAGTTTGATAGAATAAGAAAAGTAAACATTCATTTGGTAAATAGGAAACTCTATCAAGAAGGTTACATATATCTAACTTCGACTAACAGTGTTCAGGATTTGGGAGTGTTGTTTGAAAGCAAAGTAACCTTTAAAGGTCATATTGATCACATTATACCTAAATCATTCAGATTATTGGGATTTGTTCAACGATCCACAGATAAATTTTCTACAAGTACCTTTAAAATATTGTACTCTTCTTTGGTACGCTCGGTCTTGGAAAATAATTGCGTGATAAGGAGTCCTCTATATCAGACAGATAAATCTATGATTGAGAAAGTAAAAAACAAATTTCTGAGATCATGTGCATTCAAACTCGGATATCCGAGGTCCGACTATGAGTACTCAGACATTCTGCTTCTTCTGAATTTATCTACTTTGGAGCACTGCCGAGCTGAAATTGATCTAAGACTTCTTCATAAAGTTATAAATGGTGATATGAACTGTCCATTGTGTCGGAGTTGTTTAAAGTTCCTTACCATTCTACTAGCTATGGCTTAAATGAAACCATCACTAGAATGCTTACGTTAGCAAATAAGAATAGCAGCTATATTGATTTGTTTGACTCGTCCTTGTACTTTTTAAAAAATCAGGTTAAACGTATTGACCTACTATGAAGAAACTGCTGATTATTATTAATAATTAATTGATATTTGTTTTTTGATATCCTATATTATTATTCAATTGTTAATTTTTTCAATCACACTGATTCCATTTTCATTGTTTAATGGCAAGTCCATAAATAAATAAATGAATAAATATATCAATTATTTTTGCCTAAAGATTTTGCAGGTATAAGTAGACACATAAGGGTTTCATGCATTTTCGTAAGGGAGGTTAATAGAGTGAATTGAATTTAACCTTCCTCAGATAGTTTGTTTATTTATGATTTTTTTTCAGCTGGTGGAGATGTCACAACCGAGCACAAATCAGAGCCAGCTGTTGGTGATGAGAGATTTGGCCATTGCTCTTTCTGCCTGTATTTATCAGTCGTTGTGCGATTCTGATACCTTCAAGAATTCCTTGCAGGAAGCCCAGGTAAAAGATGTTTTTAATTTTTTTTTATTTCTTCATGTTCTTAATGAAGAAAAATACTCGATGTAATATGTGGATTAAACTTGGGATAATTTATTTTCAGGTGATGAATATGTTTATATGGATTAATAAAAAAATGTTTGAGCATTGAGAATTCAAAATTTGAAAGGTTTTGTCTTCTATTGTTCGAAAAGGTAGCATCATAATAAGTCAGTTATTGATTGATAAATCATATTGGATACTTAGTAAAACTCTGGAAGATGTTGGGGTAGTAACCTTTCAATTAGGTTGTCTCTAACATTTTGTCTCAATGAATATAAGGTTACATATTATTTGGACTGACTTTTATAAAATGGTTGTATGTAGTTATTTACATTTATATGTTTTTACGTTTACTTTTATAACTGACATTTTCTTTGTTTATTGTGCATTGATTTCTGTCAACTGTACTTCTCAACCAAAGAAATAAATATTATTATGATTATTATTTTATGGTGTTGTTATGGTGTTATAGTGTGTCCAAAATTTCAGTGGTAAAAAAATTCTCAATTTTGGAAAGTATTCCAATTATGGGAGATATTGCTTCGCATAAAAATTTCATGTTTCCTGAAAATTTGGCAGACGATAAATATTTTAATGATTCATTATGCAAGTTGACAGAATATTTTAAATCAACGTATGAACATTATCTAACGTCCAGAAGTCATTCATAAGTATCAGCTTATAAAAAACTTCTGGGAATTTGCTTGTTTATTCTGTTCCAGGAGATCGGCGCGACTCATCTAGTAGGACGTAGAAGACGTATTTCGGTAAATGAAGGCCACAACATCATAACTTTACCATCGAAATGGCCTGGCGTCACCAGCTTGCGAGCTCTCCTCGCCCGGGAGAAGGACGAAGATACGCCAAGATTAACTGTCGTTCTGTGCGAGGCGTTCACCGCCGTCTATATGGCTTTGCTCCTTTATGGATTGGTCACCTGCGATTGCATTATCCTCTTTCACGTTACTGCGCATTCATTCGATTCGGAAGTTTGGGGAAAGTGAGCATCTGTTTCTGATATGTATATTGTGAAAAATTCTGCACTGTCGGATATAATCCAACGCCTATCGTGGTATTAGCCAGGGGAGTAGTTTGTTTTCTGATAGGTGTCAGTCCATCAACCTACAGTGTAGGTGAATTGAGACTGGCCTGAACGAATTGTTCTCTTAGATAATTTGATTCACAGCTAGTGTTCAAGTATGCTCCCACACTATATGTGAAAGTCAATAAGATACCTTAGATTGGAACAGAATGAAACAAATTCAATAATTCTACGAAGTCAGTAAAGAACACTGTCTATCATCAGCCATAACTCTACATTTTATAAGAAAGGACCTTACTATCACGTTACTATTACGTTTTTCCCGTGGGTTCGACAATAGTTGACCACACTGTACAACTACTACACTGACACAAAAACTCCAACTGAAACTCAGACTAATACTCTCAAATGTCTATCGCCTTATTAGCTTACGTCGCACCGCATTTTCAACTTGACTAGCACCATCTGCCTGTTGATAGTACTTATATATCCCAATGGAAATCTTCGGAAGCCGATAGGATTATTCTCGAAGCGACGCTACACCTAGAATGATCGAAAAGCGTAAGTAGTGTTGCGCTCAACCTTGGCCCAGTCCCAGTCCATTGAAGGATATCAGTGGCGGCCGGCGTTATTTTTTTCAGGGGATAATTTACAATGATACAGTTTTCTGTAGAAGGAACTTGAAAACGGCATAATCTTCGAGAAGTTTAGTAGTTCCATCATTCCTCAATTGAAATATGAATCCTAAAATTCATTCAACCACTGCTAAGTTGAAATCTGCCACGTAATGTTTTACTATAACAAGAATTGTGTGAATTACTGCTTTATCTGGTTTTCAATCCTTTCTATACGAGGGTGTTTTTTTATGCAGTATTCCCTGTACGCAGGTTTTGTATTTGACATATACGTACGATAGTCGTACTCAGAACCATTATAATGAATGAAAAATGCAAAATACTCATTTTATTCATAAGAAGAATCGGTCTATTGATTCACAAAAATTAAATAAAGACAATTCTACGGTTTGAAAAAAGAAAAGATACTTTCAAAACTTTTTCAAAATTCAGAACGTTTTTTTGGTATGATACAGCTCATAGCAAGGTGTTGTTTCAGTTATTTTTTTATTCGCAGAACATACTGCACACCTTCTAACGGGAGGTCTTGCAGTAGGTTTGGATTTCGGTATCTTTTTTATGAAGTGTCTTGCTGTGAGTCGTAAAGGGTTAGCAGGGAACAGTATTTGTTTCATTTTCATCAAATTCAATGTTATCTGGCGGTTCATCGTGTTCTGGCTCATCATCCTTTTCAGGCTCATCATAGTAAACCTCTTCATCTTCACTTTCTTCACTACTGAAGATACACTCGTTATCAACCACGTCAGATAAATTTTCCAACTCTTTTTGGGTTAAATACCTGCGAGACATGTTTACAGTGTTTACCCTATGACAAAATGATACTGACTGAAACACGTGCCATCAAACAGTAATATTCTGCCTATCAAATGTGCAGCCGCTGAGGTTGCAAATATAGAGTTATATTACACGTGTCGTCCAGCTCGCCGTATTCGTAAGACATTTGTGAAGCTATCCATTATCATTTAAACTTGTACGACACTCGTACTCACATGGACGTATGTATGCATACGGCACTCGTAAAGAAAGGGTTAACTATAACTGCGTTGATGCAACATAATTGTATAATAGGGAGCAATTTGTTTTTATAGGGGAAGTGGAAGTAGCTGGAATTGTATTTGTTTGGTTGTGATACTCAGACGGTTCACACCGTTCCCAAGAGACCATGTCCGGTACTGATGATGGGGCAAGTACCCCGAAACCGCTCTCTCGGTTGGTCGTATCATATTATACATATGTAAATCCCTGAAGAAGCTAGTCACTGGCGCCAGCGAAACGTCAGGAAGAAATTTCAAAAATAGTGACCCTGAAAACCTCGGCTGCGAAAGTCTCAACCATTTTCTATTATGTTAGGTTCTACAAGGATATATCTTCGGATCAGTAGTTTTCCTCATATATAAATTCCATTGCTAAAAAATATAATTTGTTATAAATTGTTGTGGAATTGGCCGAGGTGGTAGTGCGCCCGACTCACGATCGGAAGACCGTGGGTTGGATTCCCGCCTCGACGAGATATTTTTCTCGAGAGAATTTATCTGGTTGAAGCTGGAATGATTCTGCAACCGTGTTAGGAATCACACGTTAAAATAAATTCTATAAGGCTTTAAGAAAAAAATACTCGGCTTGTTCATACACAGCAAGTGTTTTCCTTCTGTGCTCGCACTGGGCAAAAAAATAAAATAAACATCCACTGGGTGGTACTTATCACTATGTCCTTAAGCGAATCCAATGGGGACATTTCACGAGATAGGGTAAGACTTCATCAGTTCTCATATCAGCTGTATGTTGAATCGAAGATAAATGAAACTCGGTCTTCCTAGTTCCAAAAAAATAGTATCTAACACTTTTATTAACTAGAAGACTACCACAAACTCCTATTCCTCGGAAGAGTTGGAAATACAAGTCGAAACAGTATCATAAAACGCCTAAAAAATCATTGAAAGTGTTACGGTCTGATCGAGACAAAACGTGGTATAAAATGGAATATATTTTTCAACAACTCACTTCATGTGCAAAAACCTAACGCAACCCTGAGACGTTGAATACTCATACCATAGATTTATCCTCTATTATTAAAGGGAATCTGGCGTTATCCAAAAAAACACTATAACCCAAGCTGAAATTCGCCGATTTGGTATGAAAATAGTGAATAATCCGTAATAGGCACGTAATAGGCACTATTCATCCAATGTATCCAAAATCTACTTAGTCACTGTTCCGTCGAACGAAACATACGATACGGTTTTTCGTAGCTACTTTTTTCCCATAAGATTCGCAGACCCAGGCCACAATTAAAATCGTTCAGTTTAACCGGAGAACGAAATAAATAAATTGGCATGTGTGAGGATATTTAATATACCTACAGAGTGTTCATTCGCGGTGCTACCCTAGTATTTTAAAACCTTTTAGAATTTTACTAAAAACTCGTTACACGATCACTGTTGATCTTAGGGATCTGTTTCTGTTAATGATCGTATTATAATCATTATTATCTTTATTTATCATCGCTAGGTTATTCGGCGGAGGCATCAAGAAACTTCTTAGAACTGCCAGTATGACTGGCAGCACGACTCACCCACAATATACAACTCAACAGAGCGTCCAGACACCCACTACTGAAGAAGCAAGCGGTCCAACGACTTGGCTTGGCAAGCAGAGAGTCAAGTTGAACACGAAGCTTCTCGGCCAACAACCGTCGCATATGAAAGAGGATAAGCCAACGTACAGGGAGCAGTTCATACCTCCCGAAATGAGTATCTTGGCATTTTTACTCCAGAAGGTTGGTGACTTTTGGTGATATTGTCTTTTGAAAAAAAATTGTTGACAAACACTTTTGTAAAACTTTAAGAAATCTATATTGTACTGATATCTTGAGGTTTTCTTCATGAATTTTAGCCAAATGTTGGTAATTACATTGAGGAAGTCGAGAGTGAAGTTGAGGAAGAGGATGAAGACGAAGATGTTTTTGACACTCCAGCCAAATCTGTTGTCAAAACAGTCAACAACGAACATTCAGATCCGAACTCGTATTCCTGGCTAGTGCTGAGATTGGCCATTTTGAAGATCGTTCATAGCAGGATTAATGATTTTTTGGCAGTAAGTAATATTTTTGCCTTCCAGCCATTCCAAAGATTCAAAAAATCTGTAGAAAGAAGGAAAAAGTTTTCATTTATTCAATTATTAGTTGTGCAGTCAATGATCATAAATTTATTATAAGTGAAATTAAATAAAAATATGTGTAATCATATAATTTTGAAAATGTGATAATGAAACTAGCATTGATTTCAGAGAGTTACGTGATGAAAATATCAAAAGATTCGCAAATTGTTACTGTATGAGGTTATGATTGATAGAATTATAGTTTTACAATGAAAAATCATTGTTTTTAATTTTCTAGCTACTTGAGACTTTGTAGTTGTAATCCAGATAAGCGCCAATAAAAACAGTATAACTTTTCAAACTTACTGTTTTTGTTACTTGAATTACAATCTTTCCAATGATAGAAAACCTCTTTCTTATATTCAAATTCAGTATTTTTCTATTTCTGTTTATAACAACCTACCTACCGTTTATAACAACTACCTTCCAAAATCGATGACAGCAATTTTTGGTAAGATTTTTAAAATTTTAAAAGGCTACTCAATTTCGTTCTTTACTATGCACAAAACGCTACATGAAAGTCAGTTCGGCTTCAGACAGAACTGTTCCGCTGTTCAAGAGATACAAAGACTTGTGGCTGACATAGTTAAGGATTTTGAGGTGGGTTAACATACAGTAGTGTCTATGTGTGACTTGAGCAAGGCCTTCGACTGTGTTTCTCACACAGTACTCTTAGACAAACTACAATTTTACGGTATACGCGGTACTGTATGGAAATTATTCGAATCATACTTGAATGGTAGGAGACAAACTGTTTTTATAGACAATAGCTATTCTGAAATTGAGAACATTCATTTTGGGGTACCTCAAGGTTATATCCTTGGCCCACTTTTATTCATTGTCTATATCAATGATATATTTTATCAAATGTATTTGTTATGCAAATGATTGCTCCCTTTATGCTTCTGGCAAGAAACTTGATCACTTAGAAGAAATTTCGCATGATTTTTTAAGAAAAGCTGAAACATGGTTCGTTTCTAATTGTTTGAAACTTAATAAAAACAAAACTCAGAATATTGTAACAATAATTTTGCATTCAACTGTTTTTCTATTAGTTTGTTCACATTATTTTATAATCCAAACACAATTTGGCCTGATAAAAGATAAAAACGGAATCTCTGGCATAGAATAAATTCAAAAACAAGCACTTTTACCAATCGCCAGAAATGCAATACTCTTCTTGACGCGCGTTTCTTCAACCGAATTGGCATCTTCAGGAGATTACGATGAGTTTTTTCAAGTGATGAAGATGAGTTTTTTTCATCTCTGAAGAAGCCAATTTGATTGGTGGAACGTGCGTCGAGAAGAGTATTGCATTTCTGGTAAATAGGAAAAGTGCTTATTTACACTCAGATGCATATTTTCAGGTTGCTGGATTAGAAATTTCGGAACTTCCTGTGGCCAGTCCTCTGATACACAGTAGCCTTAGAAAATTGAATTGTTGGCAGGAAATGCTTCGCAAAGAATTGGATAACAGACAGACGCCTCCAGAATACATTCCCGGATGTTTTGTAGAAAACACCAGCGGACCAGCCATCCAAAAATACCGGTAAACTTTCAATTCTGACCCACTTCAATAAACATAGATTATAATAATAATAAACAGCTTTTTTTCAGAGTAGATTACAAACTTTTATTGCAAAAGGTCGGTACATAGAATGAAATTGCGTCAAACAAG